TTACTTGTCTTTTGGCAAGTAATCAGCATTAATGTTCCTTTTTCTCCAGCACCAGATTTGCAAAGCCTTCATTGTTTTGTTTTGTTTTTTTTTAATGAGCATTTTAACTTTTATAAAACAGTAATATAAATTAAATCTTAATTTAATTTAATTTGAAATTAAATCTAAATTTAAAACTTTGAAATTGTAATTTCACTTTGAAAGTGATCAGATGAGATTTACTGATTGAAAAACAACATTGATTTGCAACTTAACAGCTACCAAAGAGATCCTACAATTACTCTCCTAGAGTTGTCAGAAAATAGCACTATAATAATGAAATCAAACACATCTCCCTTTATGATTTATTCTTAATCTGGTATAAATAGACTGAGGTCTGTGTAGACCTATATGGGCATATTGGATCTCATCTTTAGGGATGAAAGGGCATGAAAATTAAGGTGGTAGATTTTATTTGATTTCCAGGTTGATCTGGTAATTTCACTAGATTTTGTCACCCACAAACCTACATTTTATTTTATATGTCTTTTATATCAGTTACAAGGAGACAAGAAAACTTAATGGAGTATCTATTTATAACATTAGCTGTTACTTCAGGTAGTAGACAGACTGTCATTTTTTTATTCACATGAATTTGAAGATTAAATACATAAAGGGGCTTTTTTAGGCTAGGTTAGACACATACTTTTTATTTATTGAATTGGGAAAGAACATCAGGGAGTGTCATTCCATCCTCATTCCTGCTCCTTGCCAAAACACACACACACACACACACACACACACACACACACACACACACACGAATGTAAGGGCCTTGAGGCAGGAGTATTTGGATTTGGTTATTTTGTTCAATGCCAGGATTTAGTATAGTGATTATCACATAGTAGGTGCATAATGAATTATTGTTACATAATCCTCTGCTTGTGCCTTGATTTAGTTGGTATGATTTGGGCTAATAAAGTGGTCTGCTACATTGTAGGTGTGTAGTAAGTATTTCTAAAACGAATGAATTAATCAACCTAGCTTATTTCTGAGAAGTAGCTTGCTATAGTTAATTATTTTATAGAAGGTGTAAAAGGGGAAAATTTTAGAATTCCTAATTTGTTGTAAAAACTATGATTGTTTCCTTACATATTTGCTATTCCTTTGTGGCAGCATTAGGGTTATAAGTTTGTGTTAAAAATATACATGCCGCCAACACCAAATGCTGACGAGGACGTGGAGCAGCAGGAAGTCTCACTTACCACTGATGCGAATGCAGAGTGGTGCGGCCACTTTGGAAGACAGTTTGGCAGCTTATTACAAAACTAAACATATTCTTTCTGTATGACCTGGCATTGTGCTCCTTGGTGTTTATCCACATGGAGTTGAAAACTTATGTCCATACAGAAACCTGCACACAGATATTTATAGCAGCTCTTCTGTTGGGCAGTAGGTGAATGGATAAATAAACTGCGGTACACCCATGCAGGGGACTGTTAGCAGTAAAAAGAAATGAGCTGTCAAGGCATGAAAAGGCATGGAGGAGACTTAAATACATATTAACAGAAGTCAGTCTGAAAAGGCTACATGGGTGTCCTTATACACTTATCCAAACCCAAGAGCATACAACACGAAGGCTGAACCCTAAGGGAAACCAGGGATGTTGGATGATTATGATGTGTCAGTGTAGGCTCATGCTTGGTAGAAAATGTACCGTTCTGGTGAGTGATGGTAATAATGGGGAAAGCTATGTATGTGTGGGGATAGGGGATGTAGCAGATTCCCTGTACCTTCCTCTCCGTTTTGTCAGAAACCTAAAACTACACTAAAAAAAATAAAGTCTTAAAAAAGTGTAAATAGTGTTATTGCTCATATTTTATTTGCATATTGATTTAAGTACTTTTGGCTGAAGAGAAATCTTTTAAAGCATTGCTGATTTTATTTATTTATTTATTTTTTACTATCTACTTATTTATTTAAAAATTCTTTTTAGAGTGAGTGCAAGCAGGGGTGGGGGCAGAATGAGAGGGAGAGACTCTTTAGCAGACTCCACACTGAGCATGGAGCCCAACGCCAGGCTTAATCTCACGATCCTGAGTTCAGGACCTGAGCCAAAGTCAAGAGTTGATGCTTAGTCGACTGAAGCATCCAGGCACCCTAAAGCATACTGTTTTTTAAAACTACATAGACTGTCTTGCCAAACAGCGAGGGGGTTTGATAAGAGCCAGCAGTGAAGGGCATGTTATATTATCTTTATCTTAACGCTGAGTGTTTAGGAAATTACTTGAATTTATTTTCTTTGTTACGCTTAAAGTTTTGATAAATTTGATAAATAAGGGTAGGTCTACTTAATAATGGACTAGAAAAAAGTCACCAATAACAGATTCTTCAGATTATTAAACACTGTCTAGGATGAAATTCCAAGTATAGGTCACAAAAGGCACCTCTCTAGCATCTGTATCAGATTTCTGACCCTTTAGCTATACTGAAAAATTGACGGCTGACTTAGCAACATGGTATCTTCTCCACACTTACTGGGGGACCTACATAAGCAAGAAAATGAGTTTGAAGAAACTCTTTTTAAAGGTTCACTAAAGAAAACGTGAAGATACTCTTTGATTGCCTATGGTTGCATAAGTTAGACCCCACTGATATATCTGATAGAAATGGCTGCTTAATTTAAGGAAGAGGAAGGTAGCCTTGAGAAGAAATAGTAGTTGAACCAATGAACAAAAACAGCTACCTCCAACATGGAGTGTATTTATGTGCCAGCGTTTGGTAAAACACTGCCAATAGTAGCATTTGCTGGTGGTTTATTTTTGTGGCTATTGTTGTTTATTTTGTGGCGTTGTTTTTCTCCTACAGCTCTTCTAAGTCTGAAAAGGCAGAATTTTATATGAATTTTATCTGATTTTTAAGAATGATATGTCTGCCTTTTTGCGTGAACGTCTACTATACTCCAAGGTGGAATTTTTGCTGCTTGATTTTAGTAGTTTTTCTGTGTGTTGAATTAAACCTGGAAGAGTCTCATAATTGTTTTATTGATTGTGAAGTACATTAGAAGCACAGCTTCTATTTTACAACCCCTTTGCAGAACTTTCAAATTCTATTTAGGTAATAGTATGCGTAGGTGTAAATGGAAAGCCTGACCTATGTCTAGAGAAAGTTTTTTGTTTTTTTTTTTAACCGTATTTGTGCCTTTTGTGACCTATACTTGGAATTTCATCCTAGACAGTGTTTGAGCTTAGAAAATAGGAAAGATGTGACAATCTGTGCCATATAATAAGTCAGGAACATGACTGAGTCATAGTCATATAAGTTTCAAGGCCGGATGGATCAAATGAAAGCTTGGGGAACTTGCCAAATTGATTCTCACTCTTTTCTGATGAATGTGGATTCGGTTACTCCACTTCAGGGAGGATTATTGCTTAGTCCTCCATCTCCCCCTAAAGAGACTAAAGTTGAGGTTAGAATCTAAAGGATGATTGCCACCTAAAATAGGTGGAGATGTAAAAAATCTCCAGGTGCCTGCATCTTACCTTAACATCTTTAACCATAGATTACAGTGGAACCTGAGGTTTTAATACCTTATATGTAGATTTTTTTAGGGTCATTTAGGGGTTTATTTATTCTTTTTAGTATTTTTGACCTATTTATCATTTTAATGGAAACAAGTTAAATGCTAAATACAACAGTTAAAAATTCTTCCCCTCAGGACACTCATTGACTACTGGTGCAGAAAATATTGTGTATATGAAACAGCAGAATTTCAGTCATACACTCTGCTACTCAGTCTGCTTTTAGGTTGCTTTTATCAGCTTTCTTGGTGAAAGATTAATTTTAATATTAACTAAAACAAAACTTAAAAGGTGAATATATAGGAAAAGGAATACAGTTAACTCTTGAACATGATTTTGAATTCTGTGGGTCCACTTATATGTGGTTCAATACTATAGATGTATTTTCCCTTCTTTATGATTTTCTTAATAACATTTTCCTTTCTCTAGCTTACTTTATTATAAGAATACAGTATTTAGAGTATTTTCCTTTCTCTAGCTTACTTTATTATAAGAATACAGTATCTAATACATATACAAAATATGTGTTACTTTATGTTATTGGTAAAGCTTCTGGTCAACAGTGGCTGTTAGTTGTGAAGTTTTGAGGGAGTCAAAAGTTATACTCAGATTTTGAGGGGCAACTATAATGTAATATTTTTAAGCTTCTCTATTATATTGTTTCAGGGAAGGTACCAGATACTTGACAATGGAGCTAGCATCAGAAATAGTAACATGTATGACTAGTGCTATTATTTGTGGTTTATTTTCAAGAAATTATTTTAATTGAACAATTAAGCATCTTTTGCCATCAGGATATCAAGAGGGTATGATTTGTCCAGTGTTTATTCTACTTTTTCAAAACAAAATTATCTAGAATTCCAAATGCTTTCCTAATTTTATAAAGGTGAAATAAAGTTCTCTTTTTCTCAGTATTATTAAATAGCCAGTTATTTCTCATCAGTGTTATGTATATCAGTTGTAAACCTGAGACAGTTTTCCTCCTCAGGGAACATTTAATAATGTCTGGAGATTTTTTTGATTGACAGCACTGGGGCGCTGTTGATGGCATATAGTGAGTAGAAGCCAGCGATATTACTAAACATTGTATAATACACAGAACGGCCCCCCTCCCCCTCATGCCCAAGGAGTTATCTGGCCCAAAACGTTAATAATACCTTAATTGAGAAAGCCTGATATATATAACTTCATTCCTTAAAGTGTAGGAGAATAAAGTATCACCTTTAAAATCAGTTTCCATATGTATACTACCATGACAATATTTAGACAGTGACCTATTATGAAAAGGATTTGAGGTGGCTTGACATGATATGAAGGAGTTGTTCCTGAAAGATTATTCAGTTATAGTAAGTTATCATCTTGTCGCTGCACTTTATAAGTTACAGAAGTGGCTTTACTTTTTGTGATTTGGTTCATGTAATTCTTTGTTTTCTTTTTAAGCAATTAAATATAAATCCAGTCTTGTGAAGGAGAAAACCATTCTTTTATTTGTTGGTGGACTAGTGCTCACTATAGTTGTCATCGTCGGAGCCATTCTTTTTGTCCCAGGTAAGAAACGCGGTTATCTGAGGGAGACAGGATTAATGGAGATGACCGGGTTGGGTGCGGGGAGGTGTTAGTTTCCTAGGGCTGCTGTAACACATAACCACAAAGTGAGTGTCCTAAAACAGTAGAAATTTTCTCACAGTTCTGGAGTCCATAAATCTGAAATAAAGATGTCATCAGTGCCATAATCCCTCCTGAGGCTCTAGGGGACAATCCATTTTTTGTCTCTTCTAGCTTCTGGTGTTTGCTGGCAATCTGCAACTCCTTGGCTTGTGGTGCCATAATTCCAGTTTCTGCCTCCATGGTGTCTTTGTCAAATCTCCCTCCGCCTCTGTCTTACAAAGACACTTGTCATTGCATTAGGGCCAACCTGGATAAACCAGGGTAAACAACTCCTTTCGGGATCCATAACTTAATCATCCTTTGCTATATAATTAGCAAATTATATTATATTATATTACTCTTTTGCCACATAAGTCAATATTCACAGATTCTGGGGATTTGGAGGTAGACATATCTTTAGGGCCATCATTCAACCCACTGTAGAGGCAAACTTCATTTGCCAAGACATGGAAGTGGGAATGAATGTGGGAAGTCTGTCCAAAACCACTTGTGTTCAGAGGATGGGAATGGGAGTGGAAAGAAAGGGTATGTTGCACATGGAGAGATGGCAAAGATAGAGTGGGACCCACAATGTAAACTGAAGATAGCCATTGTCATTTTTTTAAAAAATATTTTATTTACTTATTTGATAGAGAGAGAGATCACAAGTAGGCAGAGAGGCAGGCAGAGAGAGAGGAGGAAGCAGGCTCCCCGCAGAGCAGAGAGCCCGACGTGGGGCTGGATCCCAGGACCCTGAGATCATAACCTGAGCCAAAGGCAGAGACTTTAACCCACTGAGCCACCCAGGCCCCCCGCCATTGTCATTTTTGAGCTAAATAGAGTATAGGTATAAGGTTTAGGCACATAAGTTTGGCAGCTCTGTTTTCCTCTGCAGTTAGAACACAGGGAGGAAAGAGATGAATTCAGAAGATAACTTGAGAGAACAACTGTTTTGACTTTGGGACAGATTGAGCCCAGAAAGTGAAGGGAGTGGCAAGAGGTGACTCGAGAGTTTCTCCCTGGAATTCTGTAAGGTAGTTGAAGAGGCAGAGCCAATTCAAGATTTTGACATGTTGAGACTTAGATGTTGGTGTTCACATGTTTTAAGTTTGGTCTTAATCTGAAAATAGTGATTTTGTGTGAAGTTTTGGGAGAATTATATTTTTAAAACTTTTTAGTTTGTAAGAGAAGTATTGGGACTAATACATTTAGTAAGTTTAAGTAATTTAACTTCCTGCAGAGTAGGAAGTATGTAGGATAATATTTTAAATATTATTTTTATTAACAGGTGAATATTCAACAAAGAATTCTTGTGGACTTGGTTTAATTGTAATTCCTACAGTGATATTAATATTACTTCAGTACTGTGTGTTTATAATAGGTGAGTATTTGTTATAGCATGATTTTGTCTGCCTTTTTCATTTTAAAATACTTCAGTTGAAATAGTTCTTGTAATTTTTTTTTACAACTCAATTAAAAATTGGCTTATTAAAACATTTTCCAAGCTATTCTTAGTGACATTTTCCCTGTATGGATTAAATTTAAGGTTAGCTTAGGTTTTCAAAGCATTCTGTTATTTTGTAAAAAGTAATTTTCATGTATCTTTGATGCTAGGCAGTGGATTTATCAAATTATGTTATATAATTTCTTAATGATTATCTTCATATTTTTATTTCAGCTTTTTCAAATTATAAGTAGATATTCAACATATTTTTTCTTTTTTGCTAAGCCTCTCTGTTAAAAAAAATTAGTTCTATAAAATAAGGCTATTAATTGAAAATAGTAGAAATATATTTCTTTTTTAGTTATTGGCAAATCTTAACATTGTAGTTTTAAATAGTTTTTTTTTTTTTTTTTTTTTTTTTTTTTTTTTTTTTGTGAGAGAGTGAGGGAGAGAGAGCGAGCACAGGCAGACAGAATGGCAGGCAGAGGCAGAGGGAGAAGCAGGCTCCCCGCCGAGCAAGGAGCCCGATGTGGGACTCGATCCCAGGACGCCAGGATCATGACCTGAGCTGAAGGCAGCTGCTTAACCAACTGAGCCACCCAGGCGTCCCAACATTGTAGTTTTAAAAGATGATACAGATATCCAACCTATAGTTGATAATAATCTTCATTGCTTTTTTGGAGTCAATCACTAACATATTTTTGTCATTATTACAGTCCGTTTTTTTCTATTTGTACATTTAACTCTTGGTCTTAGAGTTTATCCCTGGCTTGATTAAAATTTATTAATTTGTTACAAAATTGAAGATCTAGCACAAAGACAGAGGTTGTGATGTTTACAATGGCCTGTTTGCAGAACGGTTCTCTCCAGCAGAGCAATTTATGTGCATGTGGCAAAGTCATCCCTAATAGCCATTCATACTGTAAAATGCCCAAACGTGGTAAAAGCAGCACTGTTCTAAGATTTTGGATAAAAAGTACCAATCCAGCTGAGCTCAGTGTGAAAATAAAAGACTGCTGAATGTATGAATCTGTAACTAACTACTTGTGTGAAAAGGTGAAGTTTAGATCATTGGGAAAGAAGCTACCATCTGACAAGGAAATCCAGAGTCAGTCTTTGGTCACTGGATGTTATTTCTGACTGTCCAGAATGCAAGGAGGTGTGATTGCTTCTTACATGCTCTCAACCCATTCTTTTCTCCTCCAGGTGTTTGTATGTCTCCCTTCACCATTGCCATACTAATACTCCAGGTACTGGGCTATGTGCTTTCTGTGGTTGGACTAAGCCTCTGTGTCTCAGGTAAGGGTTACGTTCTTCTCTAGTCCCAGTTTGTCTTACTAGGAATTTCTCTTGGACAGCGCTCTTCTTCCTCTTCTTCTTTATCCATTCACCTGCTGAAGGACATCCTGGCTGCTTTTCTCTTTTTGATTATTAAGAATAAAGCTACTTATAAACATGTGGGCATGTTTCAGTGTGGACATAACTTTTCAACTTCATTTAAGTAAATACCAAGGAGTGTGATTGCTGGATTGTTAAGAGTATATTTAGTTTTGTAACAAATTACCAAACTGTCTTCCAAAGTGGCTGTGCCATTTCGCATTCCCATCTGCAGTGAATGAGAGTTCCTGTTGCTCCACATACTTGCCAGCATTTGGTGTTGTAAGCTTTTCTTTTTTTAACTCTCATTTTTCCCCCGCTGAGAATATAGTGTTTTCCATATTGCCATGAGAATACTGGCTGTATATGGCTTGTGGGCTGATTATCCTAGCAGCCAAACTGCTATGCCTATATTTGTGGGAGAATTTTTTTTAAATGACCAAGCTCCAGTTGGTTAGAACATCTAAGTTTTACACACTATTTTCCATTAGTCTTGGTACGATAAGGTACATGTTAGGCAAATGAAAATTTTTTTCAATAATTTGGAGTCATTTCACTGACTGAGTTAATAATGAATTTATAGAGATAATTTTTGTTTCTTAATAATTAGAAAAAGAATTATTCTCCTTAAAACTTGATATATTACTGTTATTGCTGGGTCTTTTTAAAAGTTCACTTATTGGGGTACCTGGGTGGCTCAGTGGGTTAAGCCTCTGCCTTTGGCTTGGGTCATGATCCCAGCGTCCTGAGATTGAGCTGCACATTGAAATCTCTGCTCAGCAGGGAGCCTGCTTCCCCGTCTCTCTCTCTCTGCCTGCTTGTGATCTCTGTCAAATAAATAAAATCTTTTAAAAACATTAGAAAAAATAAAAAGTTCACTTATTTCATGTAGGTTTCTAACATGAAATTTCACTTATTTTTGCAGAGTGCACCCCAGTGCATGGCCCTCTTCTGATTTCAGGTTTGGGTATTACAGCTCTAGCAGAATTACTTGGATTAGTTTATATGAAGCTTGTTGGTAAGTCAATCTTATTTTTGTTCACCTATGCCAAGAATTTCAAATATATAATTTGGAAAATTATTTTGATTGGATCTTATAATTTATGACTAAGGAAATTCATCAGTGTTTCCAAAAATGAGAAAATACCATGAATGCAGCTGTATTTTTTAAATAATAAAATTGGAATGATGGGGTGATGAAAGAGGATAGAAGTAATAAGAATTAATGAAAAGTTTAGATTATAAACTAGTTTAAAAGAAAATGGCTTTTGTTTAGAATGTATAGACTTTTTTTATACCAACTAAAAAGAGAGAATGTTGAGGATTCAATAGGAAAGAAATTTTAGTTGACCCATTGTTTTTATAAAAGCCAGCTCTTTCACAGAGACCCGTTTGTTACTTGCTGTTCTTGCACACTCTTTACAGACCTTGACACCCCTAAGTAGACAGGTTGAAGTTCAAAATCTGTCACTTTTGTTAAAGAACAGTGTCTTCTGACTTTACTTGACTTTAGAACATTTTTAGTTAAAACTAATATAATAAAGATACGGAGTTATAAAATTTAGGGGCTTACTACCTTTTTAAAAATTTATTTATTTAATTGTTTTTAAAATCCAGTATAATTAACATGCAGTGTTATGTTAGTTTCAGGTGTACAATATAGTGATTCAGCAGTTCTATACATTGTGCTCATCATGATGTGCATCCTTTTTAGCTTTCATCCCCATCACCTGTTTTACCCATCCCCCCACCCACCTCCCCTCTGGCAACCACCAGTTTGTTTTCTATAGTTAAGAATATTATTTTTTGTCTCTTTTTCCTTTGTTTGTTTTATTTCTTAAGTTCTGCATATGAGTGAAATCATATGGTATTTGTCTTTCTTAGACTAACTGACTTCGTTTAGCATTATACCCCCTAGATCCATCCATGTTGTTTTTACTACTTTTAAAATCAGTTATTAAGAAGTGGGGAATTAGCATATTGTTTCTGAACTTTATATTTAATCTGTCAGTTTTCAAATAACAGATTTCTATATAAATTCTTATTTTATATATATGGAGGCAGGTTCTGGTATGTTTTCTTCTTTAAGCTAAAAATGTTTCCTATAATTGGTTTACATTAGTATCCCTTTAAAAACTTGTTTTTGTATTTAACAAGTAAAGCAAACTCTTAAGCATTTGTCAAAATAATCTAAAGTTGCCAAATAATGGAGTAAAAAAAATCAGTGTTTCTGCTTTAGGTGGACTTTACTGTGTTTCCAAAAATTAATATAAACCTTGAATTGTTTTGGTCAAATAATTTTCCATATGACTTACGTAATACTCTCAAAGAAATTTTACCTTTGTTTCTGAACTTTAGCTTTTGCTGATTGATAATATGTAATATTGTTACATATTCTTTGTCCCTATTTAGTTAGTGCTTACTAGATAAAAAATTAAAATACTTAACTAAAATCTCCCTATCTTTGGTTCATGTGTTTCATAAGTCAGAGTCGTTACTTCAATGAAATTTTCTTAGTTCTTAACTCCTAAGTCCATAAATCACAGTGAAGACTTCTCAGCAGAATGGTGTTCATTTGGAGCTGTCAGAAGCATCACATTATGAATGTTGATACATACTCTCTTTTTGTTGAGTGTTCAGATCACTGTTTGTGTGGTTCTTAAAGATGACCCTCTGGTTATGTTGCTTCTTAAGAATGAGTGCTTGAGAACAGCATGTGTCCTGGAGCGTGATGTCATATTAGGTGTCTTTGACTGATAGCTCATTGTTCTTTTTATTCCTCATTATGTGGATCGAACTCCCTTACTCCCACGCTCCCCCCAAGCCTTCCATGTCTAAAGAATGATGCTCAGTAGAGTTGCCAACAGGTGTGGAATGCTGACTCAGGTGGAAATAGACATCGTCTAACTGCCACCTCCTTGGCCCTGCTCTCTCCCTTCTCCGTTGTTTATATCCCAAAGAAGTCTGTGAAACCACTGTAGTTATACACATACTGTTCTCACCTTAAAAACCAAACTGAAAGTGAAATCTTGAAAAGTTCCCAAGATTACTTTTTCTTTACCATAGTTTAGCATATAAATATATCACATGTAAGTTAAGTTAGTCCAATTTTATTGACATTTTGAGAATATTCTAAGTTAACTTTCCAAATCAACTTGTCTGATGCCAGAATTCAGAGGCACACCTTCGGTCAGTTGAAGGGCAAGAAGAGAAAAGGTACAGAAAACTTGCTCTTTAGATAATGTGGTAGAATGGGAAAATTGATGTGTTTTTCTTAAAATAATCTTAATGTATAAGTGTGAGTATCTGTAACATTAAGGTTGCAAATTTTAGCATTTTAGCATTTTTATCAGAAGGTAAAAATTATAAATGTTTCCAAAATAAATTTTACTCATTGCTGATGTTCTGTTTTGGAAAAGCTTAATGAATGTGTCTTGACTCAAATGCAGTAAAATCCTCAGGGGTTCTTTGTTGTTGTTGTTGTCTTTGTTAAAAAATCCAAGCTAACTTTAAGAGTAAGTTAATAACCCTATGAGAAATTTAACTTTTCTTGTTTTTATGATTTCCAAGCTTAAATTTGTAGCCTTAATGGTTGCTCTAGAAGTGAGATTTCTAAATTTCATTTCCTGTGGTCTTTTTAAACCATGTTGCATTTCATTTTGTTTCTGGAAGCATCTAAGTTTTGCAAAATGAAATTCAGGCTAGAAACAATAACAGTGTGAGATCATATAGAAAATTAAGTAGAACTTACTAAACTCACTAGCGCTAGGCTTGTTGTTTGTACGTGACATCAGTATTCATTATTTATAAGTCAGTGCTTGTTCATTTTTTTAAAGCCATTACCACTTAGTTCAATACAAGTGCATCTAAATATGTTTTGGTACAAATCAACTTAGTAGTATACAGAAGCCACATTTACCACAGCATCATAGTTGTTTTAGAATGTCATGGAATATATATATATATATATATAATCCAGTGATAGTTTATAGCCCATTGTTAAGGAAAGGTGAGTCTGATATCAGTAGGAAAAATATTCCTGAAAATTCAAAACTTAGAAATACATTTATACTGTGTGGTCAGGTATTTCAGGAAGAGAACAATAAATCAAGAAGAAACTTTGCAAGGGAGCTTATATGGAATCTGTAAGACTTGTGGTTTAAAAATAAATAAATAAATAAATAAATAAATTATATATATATATATTATATAATAAACAACTTATATATAATCCATGTATTTATATTTAATAAATATATTATGTAAATATATATTATATAAATATACATTATATAAAGTATGTTATATAATGTGTATTTATAAATATGTATAAAATAGATAGTTTACATATGTATTATATATATTTAGTATATGTTTAACTACATACATATGTGTAGCTGTCAGTGCCTTAGAACCATGATAGTAGCAAGTAAACCACAGTAATTTTATCACAATGATCATATGTCTATGGAAGAAGATTAACTCAAATGAAATGAACTTCTGCACTTTTGGATCTTACAGTATTAGAGGAAGCACAGCTGACTCTTTTCCCTCTTCATCACTGTTCTTTAGGGAGGTCTTTTTCAGAATGGTCTAGACAAACTGATATTCCTTGGACCTGAGAATTGGGACTCAGAAACCATTCTTTACATATTATTAGGACAGAAAAGGAGTTACTTGGAAGTTCTTAATAATTCTGATAAATAAATTTATGATCTCAAAAATGTAGATCTAAAATCTTAACCTCTGACCCTTCACACGACCAGTCAGAAATTTTCGCAGCTGTTTTCTTTTCCTTGATAGAGCATAGAGGGCATGGTTTAGTTGAAGTAAGTTGTATATACACGTAGCTACAATGATGATCCTTAACGAAGTTCTGTCATTCTTCCTGGCTTCTTCGGGAGGATGCTAAATGTGACTCACCCACATTCCCAACCCATTTCACTCCCTACTACTATTTTTTTTTTAAGATTTTATTTCTTAAGTAATCTCTACACCCATCGTGGGGCTCGAACTCAGAACCCTGAGATCAGGAGTCACATGCTCTACTGACTGAGCCAGTCAGGCATCCCACTCCATACTACTTTAAAAAGTGGTTTTCTTGTTTGGCTGCCAGGATCATACCACTCCCCAGGGGCATCTAGCAAGGGAGCTTTATTTTAAGGCAACAGATGATACTAACAGAGAAGGGAATCTCCTGAGAGCTGGGACACAAGCAGGCTTCACCGGGACTAGAACAGTAAGCAGTTTAGGAATTGGAAGGATCGAATGCAGTTCTAAGAACTGAGCCATCATGTTGCCCTCTAAGTAACAGGAGTTAGTCAGTGTCCATCTGTCGGTTTTATTATCAAGTTCCTCTGATTCTTTCCCTACAAGCTTATCCTCCTCTTTATGGCCTTATCTTGTATTTTATTCTTGTCTTCTCACTGATAGTTTCTGTTACCTTTGTCTTTAAGCCTTGAGCTCCTCTCCTGGCTTGCTGTCTCCTTGTCACCTTTCTTTCCATCTCCAACTTTCTCGTCTTCTTTCTGTTTCTTCTCTTCGGGCTCCAGTGGGAGAGAGAAGGTTTTCAGGCTAGTCAGTTGCTGTGGTCTCTGAGAGAGTGTCTCAGCTTCTGGCTAGTTTGTACCCTGGCTGCCCTTGGGTAGGGTCTCACTTCCATTGCCCATCAGTTTTGGAAGCTTGGTAGGGGTGGGCATGGAGGAGGAGGAGGAGCCATAGTAGGGAGCACAGAACCCTGGAGCAATCCCTGGGGCTTGCCTGAGTCTGCTCACAATCAAATCCAGGCTTCCCTCCAACCCCCAGGACAGTATAATTGACTTCCCGTAGCCCTCACCCTCCTACCAACAGGATGTTGCTGGTTGATGCTTTTGATTACGTAGGACTCATTCTGTATTTAAGACTGGCTTGAGCTGCTCTGGGACCTTCTCACTTGGCTTTTGTAAGGAAGTTCTTTTCCCCTATTCATCTAGAGTAATATTTTTTTCCTTTTGTCACTTTCTTCATGCCCTGTATTCCTTCATCTCCATTAACCAGTCTGTTCAGAAGCAGTGCCAAGGGTATCTTGGAAAGCTGAGTAGGAATACATAGAGAAGAAGTTGATTGTGGCTAAAACTAGCTGCTTAGAATAATTCATTAAAATCAGAAGGATCTGAATATTTTCTTTAGTTTGTTAGCTATTTGGAGCTTTGAAAATGGAAAGCTGGAAGCAGAAGAAAAGACTAGGCTACAAGGAACAAGAACAGTGAGCTAAGGGCAGGCAATGAAGTAGCTGGTGGAGATTGGTCATTGCCACATTCTGTCTACTTTCTGGCTGGGCTGAGTAGGGAAAGGTGTAGAGTCCACAATGGGGGCGAACAGATGATAGCATTTTTCAACAAGAAGCGTAACAAGTGGCTGATTTGGGGGAAAGACAACATGTACAAATGAAAGAAGGTAGATAGATGTTCATTATTTGATGTAGATGAATCATTTGATCATTTTATTCTATCAATGCATATAATCATTTGAAATTAATCATTATATGGTCATTGAAATGAAACATTATATTGCCTTCATTTGTATAACTTATTCAGTTTATTTTCTCGATTTTTAATTACATCAGCTTCCAATCAGAAGACTATACAACCTCCTAGGGTAAGTTAAACTTTCTTAAGTGAATTGGGAATGATCACTTGATGGTTTTGACTGAGGAATGGTCATAGAGATGTTGAAGACTTCTGCTCTCTGTTTAGTAGTATAACATCGGAATAAGAGAATATAGAAGTCATTTCATGACTTTGCATGAGTAGATCCAACCTTTTTAAAACGTGTTTGATCACGATAGTTGCCATAGACTAGAATCAGTGATTCCTTGAGACTGTGCTGACTATTCAAGTGACTTCTCACTTCTCAGAACTGGAAAGTTCATGTGTAAGAATAATGGTTATTATCTCTGCTGAAGGAAGCTGACTGCAGTATCCTGCTCACCCATTGGCTCCATTTGATGTGCATATACAACATGATATTTCAGGCTTTAACATGAGGGAGAGAGATTTGTGTGAAATTGATTTCATTAAAAATAATCTATAAAATAAATGTAGATATTTCTGGAACAAATCTGTTCTGAATTGTAATTTATTTCCCTTCTTCCCTCATTTTGTAAGTATTTTTTTCTTCCTCTTTACTGTACTGTAATTTTCACTATGTCTTGGATACCTTTAAAGCTATCTAAGAAAATTCCAAGAAAAGGAGCAAATTTAAGAGATAAATTGAAATAGATAAATGAGCATGTGAAAACAAACAAACAACAAGAACAACAACCTGTAGAGACTGGTCATAGGACAGGCCCAAGAACTATTTTCTTGAAAGAAGGTCTGGAGAGGTCACCTTCTAGAAAGGAGTAATAGCTCTATCTGGAAGGCCAAAATCAAGACTCCTGTCTATGGCAGGAAGTGGAGATTACATATACTCCTTAGGCCTGATGAGCCTCAAAAGTCAAGCCTGAGAGGCAAGGGGGGCCTAGAGGTGAATCTTAACCACAGGTGTTTCTGCTAAAAAGATGGGTGCTGTGGCTACATTGGTCACCAACAGCCAGCAGTATTTAAAGTGCCTCTGTTGGAGATAATCCAACCATTGGACCCTTAAATCTTAACACATTTTCTTTCCTCGTTACTGAATTCAGTTTGCATGATTTGAAAATGATTTTGTTTTGGTCTCACCTCTTATTTAACTCTTTCATTTATTTTTGTATTGCTATTTATGTTTGCACTTTTTGGGAAGTTAGAATTTCTTAAACTAAAAGAAGCAGAATGGGTGGGAAATTCTGCATAAGATTAATACAGTTATTATTAAACTATTAGATAAACTTGGCAAGCTTTGTTTTTTTAACTTTTATTGCCTTATTCTGTTTTCAGACTGTAAGATTCACTCTTTACTATATAGTTTAAATGTTAGCATATATAAATTTTAGTATAAAAGGACATGAAATAAATTCCATTTTTACGTAAATATATTTTAAATATTTTCCAGAAAGCTGTAGAGGAGCCCCTTAATGGTATGTGGTTATTACAAACTTGTATATTTTTCTTAATCTATTACCCGATCATAATTTGATTAGCCTCCCAAAGCAGTTAGAATGCTCCATCTATGCCTTGGGAGAAATCCAGGTTTGTTTTGTTTTGTTTTGTTTTTGCCTTGACCCCTCTTTTCTTGATTATTCAGAGTACCGCTATTGTACTTCTGAGAAAAATGCACTGTTCATTATCTCTCCAGAGTTGCTTGCTCTGGCCAACCAATATTTGGGCGAGGGGACATTCGTCTTATATTAGCCAAGATGAAGCATAACACAACAGAGAAGAATCTCAATTAATTTCACTTTCAGATTTATAAGTTTCAGATTCAGGCTGTTACCAGGGAATGAGACCAAGCATCTCACTTTCTTTCTCCCTAAATCTAGATCTGTGTTCCCAACTGACTTTGTTTCCTTTGTGGAGTCTGTGGGTATGATCCACAGAAAGGCTTTTGTAATAAAGTAATAAACTTAAAATTAATTTGACTTTATAGCTGTGGAATAGTTAGCATGATATTACTGCATATTTACTTATTTAGAAATGATTTCTAATTGTGGAATCTTACTAACTGCCTGCTTGGCTTGTTACTAATTCTTAGCATTTAAAGAATCAAAAGGAATGATGAATGATGGTAAGTATAAAATGCACCTACAATTATAGATTGGTTAAAATAAGAACACTGAAAAGAAATAAAGTGGCTTCTTGAAAGTATGCTCTTTCTTACATGTAAAAGGGACACTGTCAAATCATAAAGGTCTGCATGTCTTGATTTGTAAAACTTAAATCTCTTCAAAGTTGTAAGATAAGTGCAGGAAAAGCTGTCGGGTGTCACTCATCCGACCCTCCAGTCATACTGTTCAGACATAGCAAAGAGGAATTACTGCTTTTTCAAAAAACATTTTTCACCGGCAGTATCTGGTGCCTGTAACTTTTAAATGCTTTTTAGAAGACGCATAGATAATCTGGCACAAATCTTTATCATCTTGACAGAGTTTCTTTTGTGCTTGTGTCGGCAACCTGTTGCATTTAATTCATGGGGACTTAGCATCTCTGCTTTTGTAGGCAGGACTCAGTTCTGTCCTTTCGGGAGAGGATTTAGGAGAGAAATGTTGGGTCACTCGAGCTTTTGCTTCTTGTTTTGGAACTCTGGGCTAATAAAGTCTAATTTTTGTTGACTATTTCAAGGGCATATTTGTTAGTTTTTAAAAATAATAATTAAGTCTGAGCTATTGAGTGCTAGAAGTATTCATTTTGATTGTCCCTTAAGATTCTGTGATACTTCAGTTCTGTTAACATTTTAATAACTTTATGTTTTAACTTTATCAAAAATGTCTTCATACCTTTGATATTTGTCAATCATGTAAATAGTTTGCTATTTTACTGCTGTAACATCCATGACCTACCTCTTCACCTCTGGGGCAAAGTGCAGCCTTTAACATGAGGGACTGCGTTCCCCTGAGAGCAGTTAGTTTTTGCATAAGATTAAAAACATGCGGATTGTGTGTTGGTGGACAGAGTTTAAAACAAGGCTTAGGCCGTGTCCAACGGGGAATCACAGAGTGATTCCACTTTTGTAAGTTTGTGTCACAGCCGTAGCCTTTATTAACAAAGATGTATGTTTTGTTTGCCGACCACCACCCTCTGGAAAAAAACAAAAAATTGGAGTTGGTAAGAATAAACTAAGTGATATTTAAAAAAAGAACTGGTCCCTGGAATTATGGCATGGTTTATCCATGTTTACATTCACATGGTTTATTTTTTAATTTCCTTGCTCTCTTCCTGCTGTGGTGTCACCCTTCTGCAGCTGTATGAGGAAATGAAACTCCTCTGTTTTCAGAAAACTAGTACAAGAGCCTCAAGTATCTCTTCCTTTCTTTAGAACCACTGTAGCATAGAGTAGTTCTTTTGTGTTCATAGCAAACAAAATCTGTGATGGCCTTTGAAACTCCCTTAATTTTGCTAATATTTAGCTGTTTAGAATTTGTTGGTTTAAAAAAAAAACAAACAAATCTGTGTTTCTGGTGGGCTTGAAGCTCACAGTGTGTCTGCCTGGTCAGTAAGTGAGTTTCAAACTAACCTTCTATTGACCACAGTACCACTTTCTCTTCCTCCTGGCCCAAATCAACATTTTATTTCACTTAAATGATATAGGTCTGAAATGAATGGGATAGAACATTACTCTGTGATCAATATATTTTGCTTTGAAAAATCAACATCTCTTGGCTTTTCAGCTAACCCAGCAAACTGAGATTACCAGACTTTGTTGATTTTTATTTTCATTTGGCATTGACTGGCCTTTTACTTACTACAACTAAAAAGGCTGATGATTTGCCAGGTTTACGTCTGTGACCTTTGCAAATCTAAGATTAAATATTTTTCCTTTATTTTTAGATATCGTATATGTGACAATTCCAGTTTTTTAAAAATACATCAACTTGTTAATGCATAGAAAATAGACATGAGTCGTGATTACATGTTCATTTTTCAATTTTCCAGAGTAACTGAAATGAAGTGATGGACTCTGATTTGGAAAGTAGTAAGACGTGAAAGGAATACAATTGTGTTTGAGCACCATGGCCTTGATTCACTGATCAGGAGAAGAAAACAAGAAAAATAACTGGTTCTCATCTGTGGAAAAAAATTAATCATTGACCCTTAAATGATTATTGTTACAGTTACGTTTTTATTCAAAGCATTTGTAATGTAGTTAATAAAAGAATTATTATCTGTGTTGTGTGCCCAATTGAGATCCAGTTTTTTGTTGTTATTTTTACTCAATTAGGGGCAAGATTAGAGTGGCCAACTTCCAAGAATGATGCCTTTCAGATCCTCGGGCCTCTTGACTTTAGGTCACCAGTTTAAATTGGTTCAAGGTGAGAATTACCTGGCGCGACCCTCGTGGTTTCCCAGAGAGGCTTATGAAGAACAGTGGCTTCCATAGAACCTTAGCAATCCCAGGTTCACAGCCGGGTTGGCAGTTATGGCTGGTGTTAGCCGGATACCGTTTGTACCACTTCTGGGTCAAGGGAATAGCAAATTGAAGCACAGATAGGAGCTTGCTTGGGAACGTCTTGAATGCCGCCTCTGTGTGCCGCGATCACGGCAGGAGATCATGGTCTTCATTCTTGGGGGTTGCCATTCACACATTCTTCTCCGACATACAGTGTAACGAATCCTTTCCAGGTTTAGGGTAATTTTATTGATGGATGTGTTTTTCTTTTATTCACACAACCCTTTAAATCCTCTCTTGTCCTCCTGGTATTTGCTTCTGCTGTGCAAGATGTGGCACTTTTTCTCCTCTTTGAACATGGTCCAGTGACACGGTAGCATCATTGCAGAAAGGAGCCAGACTTATTCTCAGAGAACTATGTTCACAGTTTTCAGCAAAAATAGCGATGGTTGTAACATATGTATTTCCTTCCTCGGATTTGAAGGCACAATCTACAGTGTTTCTTCACTTCTTTTCTGATCTGGGGCATGAAAAACCAAGATTGAGATTTGAACTATGAGTCTCCTGCATGGCAACATAATGTGTGTCCCCGTCAGGCTGACAAGCCCACCCGATACAGGGTGGTTTTGTTACTGTTGTGTCTGTGTTGCATGATAAACACTCATCATCTTCCTTGTGTAGTCCTGCCTCCGTAAGCCCCTCACTCTGAGACCAGAAAGTAAGGCAAACCCTCCACATTTCCTGCCCCCGTTAGAAGATTAACGTTCTGACAGTCGTGATCGCCTGGAGTACTTTTAGCTTCTTAGCACTCGTTTTCTTCCTTTGTGTGTGTGTGTGTGTGTGTGTGTGTGTGCGCGCGCGCGCACACATGTATAAGATAGGCACATGCATCTTCTGTACGGACAACAGTGGGGTACCTACAGGAGAGCACATGTTAATTTCATGCTTTTAGTAACAACATTAAAAAAGATCTTTATTGGGTGGGATTATATTGGATGCGACTCTGTGATCACTTAAAACTTCAAAAACTTCTAGGTAATTTGCCAAGCTTTTTGACTGCTCACAATACCCTCTAAAAATACTAGTAATTCTTCCTGTCTGTATAATAATAAGACATTCATATCTGTAGTTACATAACTAATAGTTATTTCTTAGTCCACTGAATGTTCCCATGTGCCTCTTTTATGCCAAATTGTCATATTTCATGTTGGGACCAAGTGGTTTGCCTCTGGCAAACCTTCTGACCTGCTGATGCTTCTCAGAAAACTGAGCAGACTATGAAGACAGCTCTTCTTGGAAAAAAAAAAAAAAAGTATTTTCTTCCCTAATTGTGTTGCTGTCCAAAATATTATCATATGTAGAGGGAGCTGTATTCCTTTATATAAATCTGATGGCTCTTGCTGCTCTTTTTTCCTCTGAAAATATATTTTACTAATATTGTTTGTTACTTTAGAAATCAATTTTGATGAAAGGAGGAGAAAAGCAGATGGACTTGAAAAAAAATCCAGATACCTATTCTCTGTTAAGAAAAAGTAGGGCATGAAAATCTTTATAGCAAACTTTTTTATAAACTCAAAGTTGTACCTTTTAATATGCAGTAAGGTCTCATTTATTTGGGGTTCAGCCTTGGGACCCATCCACCACCCTTTGTGTTCTCTTAAACACTGCCTGTCTTTGGAGGCACTCACTGCCCTAGACAACGCACAGGGGAAGCAGGAGAGAGATGCCAGGTGACATCAACTCTTGCTCGTACTAGTTGTCAGCTTCTCTGGAAAAGGGACCACAACAGCAGGAACCCTCTTGCTTGGGCATCATTGGGCCAGTTCATTCCCTTTAAATCGGACTTGTAGTGGCTCCCAATTTTTTGTCACACCAAAGGAGAATTGTTAACAATGTTTTGAGCATCATGTATCCGTCCCCTACCCCGACAACCTGCTTTTTACTCAGTGATCCCAATTTGTGCCATTGACTCTTTCGCTCGATTTTATTTAGTGTGCACCGTCTGGTGTCACTTGTCATTTTTGCAACAATTTTTCCAACGTTGTTGGTCAAATCCAATTTTCTGTCTCCTTTAAAACATTGTCTTCCGCCCCTCCCTCCCCTCCTGGCTCTTATCTGTAGCTTAGCCCCATCCGTGTCACTGCCTCTTTCATCTCTCACACACCTTTCTTAGTACTTCATGTGTGTCCGCTGAGTTTTGTCCGGTTTTTTGTCTTGCTTCTCTCAATTTTGAAACTCTATTATGGCGAGAGCCTCCCCTTTCTCTTCCTGCAGTGTTTTGCATACATTAGGTGTTCAGTGCATAAGTTGGATGATTGGAAGTTGGCTATATGCAGATTCCCCACTATTTTCAGTAGGGTGATCTAGATAGTTCTCTTTTTTTGACAAATTTCACGTGCCCTGAAAACCTTAAAAGAGGATGACTTTTCTCCTAGAAATTCCAGGTCTGTTTTGTTTAAATTTCTGAGAATGTCAAAATGAAAAAATGGGGCCATCCCAAGAAATGACAATATTGCTCATGCCAGGATGCTATAGTCAGTTTAGTAAATGGCCAAACAAATTGTGATTTGAGTTAATAAAGCTCAAAAAGTGGTAAGTTTACTCCTCCATCTCATTAATTAAGAATCAAGCTCTATATCACCTTCTAGATATTTTTTGTCCTAAAAGAGATATTCAAAAACAGATCTGTGGAATGTGTATGGAAATACATACTCCTTTACTTACCTGCCATTGGAAACCGGAGAAATGATTGTTGGACGACCCTTTCTCTTTTTATTACATTTCATTTAATGGAGAGTTTGTTTAGAAACCTTAGTTTCACATGTGTCACATTTTCAAAATCACTAACTGCCATCACCCACTGGGGTTCTTTGTTAAGTCATTTTCTGTAGCTAATAGGGATAATCCAGGTAACTTTTAAGAGATAAGCAGTGAACAGGAAGTTTTCCTGCCTTTGGCTTTTGACAGCTCTTACTTATCATTTAAGACCAGCTTTCCCATAAATTTAGCCTTTTTGAAAAGAGAAAGTATTTGTAATAAGCTTCTCTGTAAGGCAACATCAGTGGAATCTTAAAAGTGTTGTCATCAGGGTTGGTGAGAGAAGGAAACATTTCTGTTTTATTAAATGGAGCATTATTTACAAAAAGCCATTGTTAAGATTTAGATCCTACATCATATAAATATCCATTAACCATTCTAAATAAAACTCCAGTGTTGCTATGTGCAAGATCCTCTCTTGGGGCCTTTTTCCATAGCAATTAAAGGTGTGCTCTTTGTCAGTAGCCATTTTTTGCAGTGATTTAAAGACCAAAGTTGTTTTACAGCTGTGTTACCGTTAAAGGTTTTTTTTATATGTATTAAATCAATTTATCACTGTTTGAAGCTTTGAATATCTGCAGTCTTTGCCAAGATACTTTTTTTATTTAAAAACATAACTTTGTAAATATTACCCTGTAATATTATATATACTTAATAAAACATTTTAAGCTATTTTGTTGGACTGTTTCTATTGCTGTTAAAGCAGACCACAAACACATTCCAAAAAAGGTTAGTTCATTGGATCTTCAAGTTGTCCATATTCTAGGTAACAATGCAAAGGATCACTTAAAATATTAATTTATAAATTCCTTTTTAAAGTACATTAGCCAATAAGCAAACTTTTAATTGGAGCAAAGTTTTAACAAGTTTTAAGCAAGTCTGTCACGTTGAATTCTCCCACGGTTTGGTGTGAACGTCACTTGGGAAAGCAGGAGCCCTGGGTTCTGGTCCTGGCTGTCCTGCGGACCAGCAGAGAACCTTGGCAGGCCGCCTCCCGACATCTCCGTGCCCCTCCTCACCTGCAGAGAGAAACCTCTTCCAACACTGAGCTGTACATTTAAAAAGTTCTCCCTTTTAACTGGTTGTCACTTGGGACTATTTCAATTACTAGTGAAAGAAAACCTGTATCTAAGAAAAATGGGATTTTTTGGCTACCGTAATTGAAAACGCAGGTGCACAAACTGGATATGGACCTCAAAACGGAGTCCTATGGATCCACGGTCTCCCCAGCTCTCAAGCTAGCTCTTGCCGGCCTTCAGAGGTTGCGTGCGATAGGAAAACAGACCATTGCCGTCCCAGCCCCACCTACTGCCAAGGTCGGGGAACATGGGAGGAAGAAAGAGGGCATCTCTCGCTCAGTAGTCCTGTCCGGCCCCATATTCCATCTCCGTGCTGCGACTGGGTCCCCAGCCTCCCACTCTCACTCAGCGACGCCAGGCACCCCTGACACTCCCAGCAGGCTAGCCCAACTCCCTTGGCTAGCTGGAATGGAGACTGTGGGTGCCCTCTGGGGTGCAGGTGGGGATTGAGGGGAAGTGAACTTGCAGCCCGAGTTGGGGGGTTGGTACCAGATGATGAGATGACATTAGACTTTGGAGCACAGCCTTCCTAGTTGGCACTGCGTGCCTTGCCCGTACTCCACGAATCTGCATTGTAGGTATGATTGTCGCCTGTTGGGATGGAAAATAATACTTTGCAGCAAGGTACCATCTCATGTCTTACCTCATAGGCAATTTAACTTTTTTTATGCATGTATGAGGACTTTTTCACTCTCAGCAGGAGTAACTAATGGAGTTGAGAAAGCATTTAAATGGCCTACCTCCTGCACTGAGGGACGCTCAGTGTAGCAGGAACTGTACTCAACCTGATCGGGACTCCCACGGAGGTGGCTTGCAGATGCAACGGGGTTTCGTTTCTGAGAGGCGCCTTTCTAGCTCGAGGCCTCAAGTCTGATAACTTTAGAGAGTGCCGGATTATGGT